CACACACACACACACACACACACGCGGCAGGAATTTCTCCCCCACTTGTCGAGAGTCCTTGGGAAGAGGAAGAAGGAACAGTAGAATCCGAGCCCCCTTCCTTGTACATATGGGGAACCTGAGGCTGGAACCAGGAGAGGAGCGTCCCTAAGGTCACAGAAGCAAATTCCTGGCAGGGCTGGGACTTGAACCTTTGTCATCTGCCCACCAGCCCACCACTCCCACAAATGTAGGTCTCTTTCCATCCCAACAAAGTGGGGTGCAGTGAGGGGGGAGATGAGAACCAATTTTGTGGGAAGTCAGTTTGAGGTGTGACTCCAGGAAAATCTCAGGATTAGAGAGCCAGGGCTGGCGGGGGGAGGGGGGAGAGGGGCGGGGCTGGCTGGCCCTCCTCAGGGGTCTAAATCAGTAACCTCCCCTCACTTCCTCTAAACCCTCCAGGCCAGTGAGGGCACCACCCAGAGCCACAGCAATCGATGATGCAGAGACCCTTCCCCCACCTCCACCAGCCCTCTCTGCCCCTGCTCTCCCTGCCTTGGTGGTAACTGGCGCCAGCTCTTGGAGGCCCCCCGGCCCTGCACATTAATCCCATCTTCCCCAGTCACATCTCTCGGCCACTAGGGAATTTGAGAGTCGAGATCCTTGAATATTTCATCAGCACTTCTGCCTCCAGTTGAAGAAGCAGCCAACTTACAGCTCATGGATAATTTATGGCCCCAGCAGAGAACCTGGAAGTAGTGAGGGGGAGGGGCAGGGAGCGTGGGGGCTTCTGATGAGGGTGCTGGAGAGAAGCCAGCTGCATCCAAAGTGTGTGTGTTGGGGGGGAGGCCAGGGACACTTCCATTTTTGAGGATACCAATGTATTACCAAAGAAAACCAGGGTTATCAAAATAATTGTGCTAAAGGTTAAAGTCATCTGACAAGCATTTTCTGACTTCATTCCTGTCGCTGTGTCTCTGTAACTTGTGCATAACCTCCTTCAGAGATAACAAAAAATTTTAATGGGATGTCCCTCATGGCTGTGAGGCCTCCAAAAAGCCCCCTGCTCCCCACACCCACTGGGGCCAGAGAGAGAAGCCAGACTCCGGACTTAGATTGGCTGAACCTAGCTCCTGCCTAGACTCCTCCTGGAGGGCCACCGGGATTAACCAAGTGGTCAACGGAAAAGGAAGGAATATCGAGTGGCCACCCCTGACTTTGCTCCAGGAGCATAACATCACACTCTTCTTCTAAAAGGAAAGATGGAAAAGGTGACTGGAAATGGAAGATGTGAAGTTCTCTTGGCCTCTTCTTTGTGAGTGACCTACCTTAGTGAGTTTTTCCACAGATTCAGAGGATCAAGTATATGTGGAGGGGGGAGAGGTAAACAAGCAGGCATAGCCTCCTTACCTCAGTTTCCCCACTTGAGTCATGGGCTTGAGAGGCGCTCCCACCCCAAGGGCTGTCTGGGGGACAGAAGAGATGCTATCTAGGCAGCCGGCACCAGGTGGGCCCCAGGCAGGTGGTGATTATGGGGTGATTTGTCCCCAGGTTGGCCTGGGGTTTGGGCTGGAGCTGGCTCTGGTGGGCAGCCCCAGCCCCCAGCACACTCCCATCAAATCTCCAAGTCATCTTCGAGTTTGATCATGGGAAAAGCCAGGCGGGGCTGCACCAGCCTTGCTTAGAGTCAGCCCCGGCCCTGGGGCCCAATCTAGACTCTCTGGGCCTCAATTTCCCCATCCATGAAATTGGGGCCATCTGCCAGAGCTGTCCTTGGAGAGAAGTTGCAAAGGAAGGCCTGGATGAAGGCCCCAGAGTGGAGAGGATGTGGGAGGCTTGGGCCCTGTGGCTGCCAGGACTTCCCCAGTCAGGTTATACAGGTGGCCCCTGTGCCAACTGGACACAGCCTTCTGACATAGAAAGGGTTCACTCTTTGTCCCCAGGGGAGACCCCTACTCTCCTAGAGAAGGGGAACACGAGGGTGAGACTTCGAAAACTATTTCTCAAAGGGTTCACTCTTTGTCCCCAGGGGAGACCCCTACTCTCCTAGAGAAGGGGAACACGAGGGTGAGACTTCGAAAACTATTTCTCAAACCTAAGGAGGGGAATTTCTTCTATTGGAATTAACTGGAAATTGGGGGGAGCCCAAGGGCCCCAACTCCCCCACCTCCCTTGGCCATCACTTCTCAGGATTCGAGAAGAGGCTGGTCTAAGTGACCCCAGCAAGTCTGTCCCCAGCCCCTAACATCTGGTCCAGTCCCATGGAGCTGCCAATGGGGGGTGGGACCAGGCTCTGGAATCAGGCCTGATGGAGGGAGCTTGACTGCCTGCTCTTTGTCCCCCCCCCCTTCCTCCCTAGCCCTCCCTTCTTCCCCCTCTTCCTTCTGGAACTCCTTGCCTCCCTCGGTGGGCTGTGGCAATGTGGGGGTTTGTCTCCACATCTGGCCCTCACCTTCCTCTGCGCAGCCCCAGCTGACAGCCTAAAGGGACAAAGCCAACACCAGAGACAAGGGCGTCCTCCCCTTTCTCTCCCTTCTCTGAGCAGCACTGATTTGGGGAGAAAAGGTTCAAACCCAGCTGAGCCACCACCCACCTTGAGGAACTTTGGACAAGTTGCTTCTCATTCCTCAGCCTCACCTGCAGCAGAGGGGAATTGATACCTATGGTGCAAGACTGTTTGAGGGTTATGAGGAACATGCCGAGTGCCCGGCACACAGTAGGTACTCAACACATTGTAGTCGTGATGTTCTCCTTAGGATGGGGTCTTTCCGGGGCCAGGGCACCTCTGGGGCATCTGAGTCTGGCCCTATTGTGTGAGGCCACCATCCCCAGCGCCCTTTTGGCCATCCCTAACCTTCTACCCATTATCCTACAGATGCTAAAGACGGATGAGGTGCTGGGTGGGGGCATTAGGGCGGGGTAAGGAGGGGCCCAGTGAAACAGAGATGTGGAGGAGGCCAGGGCGTCTGGGCTGGGTGGGGTTGAGAGAATGGGCTGGAGAGCCCCAGAGGGCCCACGCTGGGACTCACTGGAACTCCGTCTCACCAGTTTGGGGAGCTGGCCGGACAATGGGGAGACGCTGGCATCAGGGAAAGGAGGGAGGGGCCGGCAGCCGTCTGGGAAAGGGGAGCTGAGTAAGGAGGGGGAGGGAAGGCCCTGGGCTAACAGCCTGGATGGGGGGTGAGTGCCCAGAGAGCGGCCAGCCTTCTGCTCCCGGGGGACACCCCCTCACATACACACTTACCGCCACACACTTGGAGACGCCACTCTCAGATGCACACTTGGACACACACATCAACACACTTCTTAAACTGCAACCCCTCAGCTCTCCCTGTCCTCTTCCTCAGCTCTATTTTTCCATCTCACTCATCTAACATAACCTGATAATTTATTGATTATAACATTTATTGTTTACTGCTGGTCTCCCGACTGGGATGCAAGCTCCACGAAGGCAGGGCGCTCGGCCTGATTTGCCCACTGCTGTATGCCCAGCTGCCACAGCACGCCCGGCACATGCAGGGGCTCAATAAATATGTGTTGAGTGAGTGGACGAACCCCTCTAGAACCACACTCATGGACGCACGCACACTCGGGGACGCACGTGCAGAGACACGCTCAGACCCATGACGCTGCCACAGACATCCTCAGACACGTGCACGCAGGCACACACTCACACCCAGACCCGCACATCCACACAACACACAAGCACACGGGCCTTCTCACTCCCGCACACAGGCACTTGCAGATTCACACCCAGCCGTCCAGATTCCAAAGCTACTACTCACGACAGGCGGCAGGCGCGCTCAAGCACATCCTGGCTCCCCACCCTCTGGAGTGCCAGCCCCCCGCAGCCCCTCCCAGAAACAGGGGCGGGGCCTCAGTGGAAGCTGCCTACACAGCAGCTTGAAAGGGGTGGGGTGGGGCAGGGCCTCCCTGGCACCCGGGAGCCCTCTGGAGACACTACCACTGCAGACCCACCTATGGGCGAGAGGGAGAGTGAGGTCACCAGCACCCCCAGCCTTGACCCCGCCCAAGCCCCAGACTCAGACTCTGGCTTTCCCACCCTAATCATCACCGAAGGCCCAGAGGAGGGGCTTGGCGTGGAGCAGGGATTCCTCCAGGGCAGAGATGGGTGGGGCCCAGGCCTGGTCACCTGGCACATCTGGGGGAAGGGCAGGGGTGTGGATGGTGAGAACTGGGCTTCCCAGCTTCAGCTCCACTCTCCAGTAGGAAGAGAAGGCTCCTCCACTGCCCTGTCCCTGGGAGGCCAGAAACGTGGGAAGTGGGGCAGAACTGTTAGCTGGCTGGCCCTGTCCCAGGGTCCCTCCCCAGAGAGACCCCTTTGCCCCCACCTCACTGCTGTGGAACATGGTGGGGACAGGGGTGAGTCACAGGGCTGGGTGGTAGCCACCGGGCACCACCCGTGCCCCCACATCTCCAGACTCTCTGCCTCCTGAAGCCGACGGAAGATTGGGCAAGACGGTCTGGCAGTCCCACTGCCACCATGAAGTCTCATGTTATCAAACCGTATCCCTAGGGTCCTCTGGCCGCTGAGATGGGGCCCTAATCCCCACTGTGGAATGGGAGAACGGGCACCTAGGGCAGGGTATGCTCGCTCTGACTCTAAGGAACCTCGGTCAGTAAATGCCTGGAAAATACAAGCGGGAAGTAAATGCCCCTGGCCCCCTCCCCACACTCGCCACATTTCCTAAGGGAAGCGATGCTGAACTAGGAAAATACGGGACATCCCATCTTAGAAATCTGAAACCACCATCTTCCCAGCACTCCAGGCCTCCAGGCGGGAATGCGTCCTCACGCCCCCTGGCGGCAGATTGCAACTGCACGGGGCTGCTCCTCGCTCTCACTCCCCAACACCCAGAGTCCACAGAGGCCAGCTGGAGGCCAAACAGTGCTCCCCAATCCGACTCTGCATTTACAGATGATGGGAGATGGCGCATGGGGAGGAAGGGAGGGGCCTTCACCCTCACCACTCAGCCCAGGGGAGCACGGACCCCAGGCACTGTGATTCATTCAACAAGAAATGTTTATTGAGCACCCTGCCAGTGTGCCAGGAAACGCTGGACTCCTGGTCCAGTGCTTTTCATGACACCAGCTGCCCCTCTGCTGTCTGCATTTCAGGGTGATACCTCAACTAGGAGGAGCTGGAATCTTCTCCTCCAGGAGACTGTGCAGGTGGGGTGAGCATCAGAAGGAAGATGGGCCGTCAGCAGCGGCAGCACCACCATCCTGTGGTCCAGAGAGGAGGTGTGAGGGGTCTGGGGGGCAGCACCTACAGGTGGGATGGGATAGGGCCCGGTCAGCTATGTCCATTTTACATTCTTAATAAATAGTTCTTGCTGCTGCCCAGGCTGGTGAGGGTGGTGCCATTGGGCCAAGGCTTCCCAAACTCTTGCGGGGTGCAGGGGTGGCCCTCTTCTCATGCTAGTTCAGGCTCTGGCTCTGAAAAGGAAAGAAGAGAGCATTGGGATTAGCCCCACACACACTCCCAACAGGCGTCTGGGTGCTGTCCTGGGGGAAGGGGGGCCAAGCAGGAGGGAGGCTCCCAGGAACAGGTCTCAGCTGGTCCCAGCTCCAGGAAGGATGCCACCCCCCAACACACCATGTGAGACAGGAGTTGCTAACAGGCCACAGAGGAGGGTCCCAGCACCCGACATGCACATTCCACTGCCCCTGCAGCCCAGTACATGGACCCTCCTGTCCCCAGCCTCCACGCCAGGCTGCCTCCCCACCCTCCACCAGCACCCGAGCCACTGACCGGCCTCAGCCTCGTCGCCCTTGGCATCAGGCTCCTGCCACCAGTCAGCATACACGCCCTCCTCGTAGTCGCCCTCCCCCTCAAACTCAGCATCGGATGGGGGGCCCTTTGGCTCCACAGGCAGTTCTGTCTCCTCCAGCTCCATCTAGAGCAGCCCCACGGTGGGGGGAGAAACCAGGTCACAGCAGGCACAAGCGGGATCGGTTCCCTTCCTGGCCAAGGGGCCCTCCCGTCCCGTCTCAGTCCCCAGAACCCCTCCTTCCCCCGTCTCAAGATCTCACAGAGGAACGATCTGCGGGTTTCTCCCACCAAGTCCTATTCCCAAACTGCCCCCTCCCTGAGCTGATGCACCGGGCTCCACTAGCAGGGAGTCACTGTTAGCATAAGCAGCATCGCCCTCTCCACAGCTGCCATTAGGCATAAAGACCGCGGGGAATACTGCTAGCCCGTGCCTACTGTCTGCTCATGCCGCTTCCCAGCCAGGAACGCCTCTCCTCCCCTGTGCCTGGAGAGCTCCTGTTTATCCCTCCACCGCCAGGCACCAGCTCCAGGATGCGGCCCTTCTGATGACCCTGGCTGGGTCTGGAGTCCTCCTCCAGTGCCCCGTGCCAACTCCTCCCGCAGCACTGTTTGGGCCTCCCCCACTAACTGTGAGCTGCTGGGGGTACTGTGCCTTTCATCAACTTACCCCGGCCCAAGCACGGGGCGGGAGCTCCTGTGCCAGCTCTACACTAAGTGCCTGACATACTCAGCCTCATTTCATTCTCACCATGACGGTGTGAGGGAGCACTGTTCTCCTCATTTGGTGGATGAAGAAATCAAAGTCCGAGGCTTACCTAAGACTTGCCTAGAGGCTGCCCAACCGGTAAGCAGTGGAGCCAGCGGTGGAGCCAAGTCTGGCTGCACCAAACCTGGGCGCTAACAGTGTAGACCCTGCCCCTGTGTGACAAGTGGGGGCCTGGACGCATGAACAAAAGAGGGAATGAATAACTAAGCACTGAGCGGCAACACCTTGGAGAATTCAGGCTCTCAAACCCTCATTCAGAATCAATGTAACACGTGGTGTTCCCTCCTGGTGTCCTGCGTTCATTCATTCATTCACTGGTTCATTCACACTCAGTTTCAGAGCACCAGCTCTGTGCCAGGTGCTGTGGGAGAACTGGGAATAACCTAGACCCCTGTCCTGCAGGACAATCCTCTAGGATACTGGCTGGAGAAGGGGGCTGGGGGTGAGAACGACCAGGGCTGCAAATAACTCCAGGTCCAGGGAGGCACAGAGAGTCAGAGGTGGCACTGCAAGCCCAGAAGACAGAGCCCTGGCATGCAGCGAGGGCTTCCTGGAGGAGGCGCCACCTGAGCTGGGCCTGGGAGAGCAAGATTCAGACGTGTAGAGAAGGGAGGAACATGAGAACACTGAGGGAGAAGAGAAGGGCAGGTGTTGCTAAGGGACAGGTGAATCTCTCCCGCTGCACAGCAGCTCACTGCCAGGAGCTGGGCTGAGCTTTGGCCCAGTGGCCCCAGGAAAAGGACCAAGGGGTCTCCATCACAGCCCAGCCTGGAGGGCAGGGGGCACTTACCTCATCATCTGACTGCAGGTACATGTGCGCGAACTCCAGCAGCTCCCGCAGCTCAGCGGTCTGGTTGTGGTAGAATATGGCCTCCTGGGAGGAGGGAAGGAAAGTGAGGCAAGCCAGACCCTGCCGCCAGATGGTGGAGGAGCCAGAGCTCCTAGGATCTGGGTTCTCTGGTGCTTTCCAGCTCAAGGAGCAGGGAACACGTATCAGGTCACGTGCTGATGGAAAAATCAGGGGGCCGGCCCGGTGGCATAGCGGTTAAGTGCGAGCGTTCCGCTGCAGCAGCCCAGGGTTCGGATCCCGGGCGCGCACCGATGCACCGCTTGTCAGGCCATGCTGTGGCAGTGTCCCATATAAAGTGGAGGAAGATAGGCACGGATGTTAGCCCAGGGCCAGTCTTCCTCAGCAACAAGAGGAGGATTCACAACAGATGTTAGCTCAGGGCTGATCTTCCCCACAAAAAAAAAAGAAAGAAAGAAAGATCACAGCAGCTTGGAGTGCTGGGTTAAGAAGGATCCTGAGGGCTCCGTGAGAAAGAGTTCCTCAGTCAATTAGCAATTTCTGCCACTAACAAGGAAAGTGGCAGTGGCACCATTTGCCCCATATTTGCCAGCCTTGCCCTAGATTCCAAGGGGTTTCCTCAGCTGGTCCAGGCTAGGGGTCCCTGGGGAAGAAGGGCAATAGCCAGCAGTGAGGGGGATGAGGGTGGGGAGGGGAGCAGGCAGAATGGACAGGCATTTTTGTACCTCCCACAACCCAGGCACTGTGCCGTCAAGGTGGGCAGTACGACCCCTACATTGCACATGAGGGAACAGATTCAGAAAGGGGCAGTAATGTTCCCAGGACCATACAGCTGGTGGGCTGGGTTTGAACCCAGGACTCCAACCACAACCCATAGTCTTTCTTTTCACTTCCCATCCTGCCTTCCCAGGAAGCCAGGATTTTTTTAATCAAACCACGTGTCCCGAGAGTGCCTCGGAAAGCGGTGCCCACCTCCCGGGGCTGGAAGTCCTCCTCCTCCAGGCCCCAGCGAGCCCGGTGGAAGCGGTAATACACCAGGTTCTGCTGCATGACACTGTCCTGGGGGTCGAAGAGCATGTAGCTGGCGGCGCTGCGGGCGGCCTGGCGCACGTCGTTCACTGCAGGAGGAACAGGAGTGAGGGGGAGCCGTGGCACTTCCCACCCTCAGGGATAACCCCCATCCAGCCTACCCGTCTCCCAATTCAGTCCAGTGCCCATGGCTCCCCAGTCGCCTCCTGGAATACCTTTTGGGCACCTCAGTCCACCCAATAATAATGCAAACTAGAATGTACTGGGCACTTATCGTGTGCCAGGCCCCGTGTAACTCATTAAGCCTCATTGTTATTGTCATCCCCATTTTACAGGCAATACATCTGAGGCACAGAGAGGTTAGGCAAAGTGCTCAAGCTCACACCTGGATAATGATGACACTGGAGAATTAGAGGCCAGCGGCCCTGCCCTCGACCTCTTTGCCTACTGGACCCATGAAGGGTCTCCTGGCCTCTTGGTCCTCAATCCCTCCACTCCAACTCCAGCCTCTGTCTGAATCTGGGCATCTCTGCATTTCAGGAACTCTGAAGATTGTCCATCCCAGCCACAGCTGATGCCAGGATCTCCCACAAATGAGAATAGCCTTAAGACCTGGTGCTACTTTTCATTAGTCATGTGGCTAACAGCCTCATACTCTCTATGAGCCTCAGTTTCCCAACTGAAAAATTGGTCCAATAATGTCAGCTGCAGGGGGTTGGTAAGAGGATCAAGTGAGATAACAGACGTGGCAGAGCTTTGTAAACTGTCAAGTGCTGTGCAGTTGTTGCCTATCTAATCATTTACTCTTCGAGGCCCTCGAATTCTCCGGAGGCTGCTCTCTGTTCCCTCCCACAAGCCTCGCACCTGCCCCACCACCCCCAGCCTTCCCTCCCATCACCCACTCAATTCCAAGGGACAGCTCCCCACATCTCTGCCGCGCTCCGCTCCCAGCACAGTGCCCTCCCTCCTGCAAGCCCACTGGGAGGCTCACGCTTGTAGTAGGCAAACTGCAGGTAGTGATACATGGTGGCCACGAACTTCTCCACAAAGTAGCCGCCCACGTTGGGGGTCAGGTTAGCCTCACAGTCCACCTTGCACTGCAGGGATTCTGCAAAGAGATCTGGGGATGGGAGGCAGTGGGGAGGAGCTGGTGGTGTGCTGAACAGCGCCATCCCACTGATGGGGGTGATGGAGATACTTCCAATCCCAGCTCTGCCGGCGGAGCCTGTTTGCTTGTCCAGAGAGCGCATTTTTGCGATCACGTGAGACAACATGTGTAAAGTGCTGGGCGAGCGGTCAGTGATGCTGACGAGACTACTGTGGGCTGGGGTCACTTACCACCCCCATAGCTCAACCCCTACCCCAAAGCCAGAGGGACCTAGGGCATTCTCAGAGAACGGCAGGTGAGGTTTGGACATGTTTCTGAAGCCCGGATACAGAAGCTCAGAGCAGCCCTCCTGCCCCGGCTGAGGGACCCCACAGTCAGGGATCCCAGACTAGGTGTGATTTCTGGCCACAGACTGCTGGGCTGTTTCCCACCTCGGCCCCTTTGCACCTGCATCGCCCTCTGCCTGGAGGGCCTGTGAACCCAGCCTCCCCAGACCCTTTGGGATGTCACCGCCTCTCTGCACTGATGCCCAGCACCCTGGACACTCCTGACTGCAGTCCTCTACACCCTGCAGTCCTCTACACGGAGCACCAGGGGATCTGTTGGTCTGTCTCTCAACCTACTGAAGGCTCCCCCAAGGCCAGGGTAACCCCTTACTCCTGTCTGCTCCCAAGCGCTTAGCAGGTGCTCCATAAATGTGTATGGAATGAGTATTTGTGTTAAGGGGCCTTAGGACTTCTGGGAAGCAGGGCCCTGTGGGTGAGAGGGCTGCTGCAGGGGTCCAGGTCGGGGATACCTGCTACCGCAGGGTAGAAGTCCTTGAAGTCCACCTGCTCATGGGCCCCCTCGCAGCCGGCCAGACACCGGGCGAAGACGGCCAGGTACTCGGCCAGGGCCCGCTCCATGTCCTCGGTGCTGCTGCGGAAGTCCCCGCTGTTGTAGAGCTTCACAGCCCGGAGGAACACGGCCTGAAGGGGAGCGTGGCAGGAGGGTCAGGGGGACCCCAACACCTCCCCTCCGCTACAGGCCCTATGGGGCGGACAGGGAGGGGAGTCGGGCCCACCCCCTCTTCCACTCTACCTCGTACGGCTGGGCCTCCAAGTCCGTGAGGGTCTCCTCTGCCGCGTCCAGCAGCCCCCGGTAGTAGCTGAGATACTTGGCGGTCAGCTCGTGCTTCGGGTTCCTTTGGAGGAAGGTGTAGGCCGCGGCCACCGCCTTCTCCAGCCGGTTAGCCTGCGGAGTGGGGACGGAGCGGATCGGGAGGGCCCGAGCCCGCGGCCCTGAGCGCACCAGCGGGCTTGGGCTCGGTGAGCGCATCGCTCCTCCGGACCCGACGGGAACCCCGACGCGGGCTCAGGCTCGGAGCGCGGAGCGCAAGCCGGGCCCGAGGGCAGGGCGGGGGCCGCGGGCGGGGCCCACCTTGAAGAGCGCGTAGTGCAGGTACTGGTAGGGCAGGCGGCTCTGGAAGTCGCGCAGCAGCTGCCGCGGCGGGTAGGGCACCTGGAAGGCGGGCAGCGTCCGCTTGCAGCGCCGCAGGCAGGCGGCGCGCTCCAGGACGTGGCCGAAGAGCCGCAGCTCGCGGGCCCAGTCGTCGCCGTCGCCGCCGCCGCCGTCGGGGCCGGGCGCGGGCCCGGGGGCCGAGGCGGCGGGGGGGCCGCTGCAGTTGGCGTGGCAGAAGGCCTCGCTGTCCCGCAGCAGCCGGTGCAGCCGCAGCGCCGCCTCGAGGTAGCGCGCGCTCTCGCGCCAGCTCTCGCCCTCGTACTGCTCCAGCGCGTGCCCGTAGGCCGCGGCCAGGGGCATCAGGTCCTCGGGCGGGAAGCCCCGGAAGCTGTACTTCTCGTACTGCGCCCCGGCGCTGCCCAGCAGCAGCCACAGCAGCCCCCACGCCGCCCGAGCCATGCCCCCGCCGCGCTGCCGGCTCTCCCGGGAGGGGCTGGCGTCCGGGCCCCGGGCGGGCGGGCGCAGGGGCCGGGCCGGCGTGCCCGCTGGGTCTTAGCGCCGGGCACCAGGGCAGCAAGGCGGGGTGGAGGTCTGGGTCAGGTCCCCCTAGGGGCAGAGGGCTGCGTCTCCCCTCTTTTCAGAGGGCCCAGTGGTGTCCTGAGTCGCTTACTTCGGCCGGACCTCCTGCCTCTGGGGGTCTTCCCCTTGACAGATGGTGAGTGGGCGGGGGAACGCTTCCCGCAGGGATGGGGAGCCCGGAAAGCCCCTCCGCACACAGACAGTGCCCCACCTTGAGATCGAGAAATTGGGGGAAGTGCCACCGCCTCCGCGCCGCCCAGACCCTGGAACCTGGTCTTCCTTCCATCACGGCACCCCTTCTGCACACTCCCCACCCCCAGCCCTGAAGAGATCACTCCAAGTGTTCCCCCAGCCTGCGACAGGGAGGCGCACACCTGGTGTCACCCTGCACACCCTCCGCTCTCGCCACCTCCCACTCCATTTCCAGCCCCGCGTCAGAAAGTCCTTCTGGCAGTCCAGCTTTCGAGGGACAAAGCAGCTCGTCCCTGGAGAGGCCGTCCCTGGGACGTAGGGTGGGGAGAGCACAGAGATACCCCTTGGATTCTGGGGGCTCAGCCAGCCTCCTGAGAGGCCTTAGATTTAGGAATGCCAGCCAAAGAGGCAAGGGATGCCTCAGGCCGGCTTTAGGACCCGGGGGCCCCGGAAAAAAGACACTGAACTTTTTTTTTTTTTTTTTTGGGGAGTCGCCTCCGACATCTCATCTTTCTCTAACCTCCCTCCCCCTCCGGGCCCCAGGTCTCTCAGCCCCGGGTGGGTGGGGGAGGAGGGGGGAATCTGGAGTTTTGTGGTGCATTCCTCGGACTCTAACCCTCTCAGGCTCCCCCTCCTCCTATTCCCCCCCCACCCGCCCCGCCAGCTCAGTCTCCCCAGCCCCCATTCCACGTGGACCAGCCAGGGCGGGGGTGGGGAAGGAGGACAGGAAGAGGGGGAGCCAGCTCAGGGAGGAGGAGTGGGAAGGGGGTTGGCGGCGGCGACTCGCTCGCTCGCCCTCACTGCCGGCCGTCCCCGCTCCAGGCACCATGTTCCGCGCGGGGCCCCCCAGCCACACCCTCCTTCGGCTCCCTCTGCTGCAGTTGCTGCTGCTGCTGCTGCAGGCCGTGGGGAGGGGGCTGGGCCGCGCCAGCCCGGCCGGGGGCCCCCTGGAAGATGTGGTCATCGAAAGGTACCACATCCCCAGGGCCTGTCCCCGGGAAGTGCAGATGGGGGATTTTGTGCGCTACCACTACAACGGCACTTTCGAGGATGGCAAGAAGTTTGACTCGAGGTAACGGGCTGGGTGCCCCCAGACTCGCCGCTCCGCTTTCCTCAGCCTGGCGCCAGGTTCTCTTAGTCCTGGGGTTCCCTTGTTGCCCGTTTTAAGCCGTGTCTGCATCCCTGTACTCACACTGTGATCTCCTAACCCCAAACACAGCACCCTGGGTGGGGGGACCCCCAGACATCCATCTGGCAAAGACATCCCTGCCTCAACTTCAAACCTTCGCCTCTCAAAGGACCCCATTTCTTTCACACAAGCTCCTCACATCCCCCAGTCCCCCGAAGTGCTTGATAATCAAGGTGAACTGCTCTATTTACTTACTGGTGCTTTATTTAAAGACATGGGTGGGGGGACGTTCTGGTCCACAGTGTTGGGGGGAAAGGGCAGTTGGTCCCTGCTGCATGTGAATCCTCCAATCGTCTCAGCCTGGGACCCCCTACCTTCCCACACTGCCTCCCTTCTGGGTGCAGCCCCAGGTTTCAGTGCCCTTGTGCTTATAGAAGAGGGGGTAGAACTTGTTTTTGGAGGAGGTGGGCGTTAGCAGCAGCCAAAGCAGGTGGGCGTTATAATAAGACAGCAGGATGGATCCAGGGATGTAGGGCATAGCTCGGTGTAGGGACCCCGTCTGTCTACGTGTCACATGGTCAGATGTGCCACCCTGGACTCCTCGGAGGGTTCTCATGCCTCTCTCTCCGGGTGTCCCCGCACGGCCACCTCCCTCCATCTTAGCTCTCCCAGGCCAGTGCTGCCGCCCATCTTGCCAGCCTTGGGGTTTGAGAGCCCGGCTTCTGGTCTGGTCCAGGCCTTCGGTCTGCTCTGGCAGGTCCACTCTTGTTGGTGGGCACAGAGCAGAGCTGCTCACCAGCTGGGTTAAGCCTTGAGTCCCAGTCACACACACGTCTCACGTACACACACCGAGAAGTCAGTGCCTCTTAGACCCCTCCCCAAAACACAGCTCGGCCTCTGGGAAATCAGCGGCCATGGCTTTGGAGGCAGGCAGTATATTGGGGAACAGGAAGTCCTGAGTCCAAGACCCCGGGTTCAAACCCAGGCTGTGATCCTGGACAGGGAGTTTTGCCTCTGTAAGCTTTGCTTTCCTTATCTGAAAAATGGAGATTAAAAACAACCTGAAAAATGGAGTCTCTATTCCTAAGGCTGATGATAGGACTCCAGACCATGAATGAAAGCGGCCTTCGCACAGTGCCTGGCTGGCTGTGAGCGGGTTCCGTCCACACTGGCCGGAACCGTGGGCCCTGATGGTGTTGAGCTGGTAGAAACTTCTTGCGGTGCTTGGGCACAGCACCCTGAAGAGTGAAGGAAGCAGGCCGGACATGAAACCAGCTCAGTGGGCGAAAGGAAGGACAGGCGGTAGCCAGGAGGACAGCCCTGAGCCCTGACCGCCGAGTGGGGCAGGGGTCGGGAGTTGGGGGGTGCTTCCCCAGTGGGGACACTGGGACCCGGGCTGGGCCCAGTTCGTGCAGGGCTGAGCTTGGGAAACTTTCACAATGCATGGCCCTTCAATCAAAATCAAAATCTCCTATCGTCCCTTAACTTCTGGAAACTTTAATTAAAACTGTAACTAAAAACAAAAAAAAGCCATGGCAATTTTAGAATAGGCCTTTTCAAAATTGAAAACCCATCCCTAACCCCCACCAGCTCGGCTTTCCCCTCCTTTCCTTGACAAATGGATAGTGCAGTGGCACCAACGTGGGCCCTGGAGTTCCACAGACCACGTTTTAGCTGTGTGACTTTGGGCAAGTCGATCTCCCAAGTCTCAATTTTTCTCATGAGAAAAATGAAGACAATAATGCCCACCTCACAGGGGAGAGAATAACGTAAGATAATGAATGGAAAATGCCAAGCATTTAATCCAGTATATCGTAGTTGCTCAATAAATGCTCCTCTTTCCTCCTCTGCTGTACCTACCTCTCCTCTGCTGTCAGCAGATAGTAGCAGCAGACAGGCGGGTAAGCACCCCCCATCCCAGGCGAATAAAAGCCCCTGGCCTCCTCCTGGACTTCCCTTCTGTAACAGTCCATCTTATTAAGGTGGGAGTCACCACAGATGTAGGAGGGAGGCTTGAAGAGGAGATGATGAGCACGTGGATCTACACCTGCGTGTAGGGAGGGGTATTGTGCATGCGTGTGCACCTGTGTGTGTACGTGACCATAGGCAGAGGCCACTGTGTCCCATCTGTCCCCTCCGTTCCCCAGCTATGACCGCAGCACCTTGGTGGCCATCGTGGTGGGCGTGGGGCGCCTCATCACCGGCATGGACCGAGGCCTCATGGGCATGTGTGTCAACGAGCGACGGCGCCTCATTGTGCCTCCCCACCTGGGCTATGGCAGCATCGGCGTGGGTGAGAAGGCTGGGGCCCAGGCATGGGGATGGAGGAGACCAGGAGGCAGAAGCAAGGACCCCAGGGCCAGAACACTGATGCTCAGAGAGGGAGAGTGACTTGCCCAAGGTCACACTGCATATGCAGGATGGATAGTGGCAGGTCTGGGCCCAGAGTTTCAGTTTCCTGCCCCTGGGGTGGGAGGAAGGGAAATAACAGGGCCCTGGGTGGGATCCTAGCTTGACGAGGGAGAAGGGAACTAGGGGTGGTGGAGGGGAGGCCAAGCAGGACGCTCAGACCTCCACTCCACCCCCACACTGGGGGCTGCACCAAACGTGTGCTCCGGCTGCCCGGCCCTCACAGCGGGGCTCATTCCTCCGGATGCCACCCTCTACTTCGACGTGGTCCTGCTGGATGTGTGGAACAAGGCAGACACCGTGCAGGTGAGCACCTTGCTGCTCCCGCCCCACTGCCCCCGCATGGTCCAGGACAGCGACTTTGTGCGCTACCACTACAATGGCACGCTGCTGGACGGCACCGCCTTCGACACCAGGTAAGGGCTGGAGGGAGCCCTGGGGCGCTGGGGACTATGGCATGGTGGGGGGCATCTGGTGCCCACCCTGCCTCTCCCACTCCAGAAGCATCACCTCTGCCTCATTCTCTGCAGCTATAGCAGGGGTGGCACTTATGACACCTACGTTGGCTCTGGCTGGCTGATCAAGGGCATGGACCAGGGGCTGCTGGGCATGTGTCCTGGAGAGAGAAGGAAGATCACCATCCCTCCATTCCTGGCCTATGGCGAGAAAGGCTATGGTGAGGGCAGGCAGGGATTCAGCAGGATTCTCCAGAAGTGGGCTGCCACATACAGTTGTTTAGGTTGTGCACTGCACAAGGGCACCTAGCCAAGGAGGCAAGTAGAGATGAAATCTAGCCCTCGGTGATCATTTCACTAAGAAGGAGTAATTTATTGTGATCCACACAAAGGTTCAGTATGGGCTGGTGGTGGCCCTGGGGACAACTCGCTCAGGCCTCACAGGGGGAGCAAGAAACAGGGCTGCTGCTGGCAGGGAACGAGCTCTGGAGAACAGGGTTGGCAGTTTTGCATGGTGCTCACATAGGCCTTCCTGAGTCGAGAAGGAGCCCTGGTTTGCTCTCCACTTGTATGGTTCAAGCCTGTCCCTTCCCCAGGGACTATGATCCCCTCGCACGCCTCCCTGGTCTTCCATGTCCTACTGGTCGACCTCCACAACCCAAAGGACACTGTCCAGCTGGAGACGCTGGAGCTGCCGCCCGGCTGTGTGCGGAGAGCCGTGGCCGGGGACTTTATGCGTTACCACTACAACGGCTCGCTGATGGACGGCACCCTCTTCGATTCCAGGTCAGGGGTTCCTGAGGAGGGGCGTGGAGGCTGGGGGGAGGCAGCAGCAGCTGGGGCGGTTGGGCAGTGCTGAGCCACCTGGAAAGGCAGGGCCTCTCTGACGCCTTTGCTGGCCCTCCCCACCTTGTACTGCAGCTACTCCCGCAACCACACCTATGACACCTACGTGGGGCGGGGCTACATCATCCCCGGGATGGACCAGGGGCTGCAGGGCGCCTGCATGGGAGAGCGCCGGAGGATCACCATCCCCCCCCACCTCGCCTACGGGGAGAACGGGACTGGTAGGCTTGTTCCCTGTCCCCAAGCCACCAGCCCAGCAACTCTTCTAAACTGCTCACTGACCTTCCCCCCATGGGGGGACTCCAGCCACTGGTCTACCCCTCTCCTCACAAAAACTAGTCGCCCACCCGGTTCCTGCTGCACGGACTCCGTCCTGTTCTCAAGGGGCAGTCCCCTGGGTCTCCCCTTCCACACTGCAGAAGGGCAGCGACTCCTGAGTTTGGGGAGGGAGGGTGGTTATGGAAGAACAGAAACAACATAGCCCTAGGAAGCAAAGAGACCTGGATTTGAGACCCAGCTTGGCTGGATGGCTCAGTGTCCTCACCTGTAAAGTGGGACTAATGACATTGATCAGCAGGGTAAGTTACTGGGAGGTTGCAAGATGCTGTGTGTAAAGGCCTTTCCAGCTGGCATGCCCCCCTCCCCTGCCCGCACACCCCAACAAGAGCGTGTTAGAAGAACCCATCCCATCCAGGGCGGGGAAGGTCTAGGGGCCCCCATGGAGACCGTGAGCCACCCCTCCTAGACTCGAGCTGATCCGCTCCCCCATTCTGCCCCAGGAGACAAGATCCCTGGCTCCGCTGTGCTCATCTTCCATGTCCACATCATCGACTTCCACAACCCCGCGGATCCAGTGGAAGTCAAGACCCTGTCCCCGCCCCCCGAGACCTGCAACGAGACCGCCAAGCCTGGGGACTTCGTTAGATACCACTACAACTGCTCTCTGCTGGATGGCACCAAGCTCTTCTCCTCGTGGGTCCGGGGCGGGGCCAGGGCTGGGCAGGTGGGTGGGCCCAGGCGTGGGGAGTCCTCCTAATGGCACCCCCGACTCTTGCTCCCTCCATAAGTTCCCATCTAAGTGAGTGGGTGGGGGGAGCTTAAATTCTTAACTCTGCAGGCAGGCAGAGGGAGGGTGAAGCCAGCAGTAGGGGGAGCTGCTGGGTCCATTTTATGGAGGGGAAACAAGCAGGGAGAGATGAGCCCTCAAGGCCTCAATTCAGGGGCAGTGGCAAGAACCACTGGGCCCTGCACTCTGCTGCTTGAGCCGGCGCCAGGAGTGACTTGGGAATTGAGGGGACAATGAGGTGGTGTGAACTGGGGGGGCACAAGGACGGGCGCTGATGTGGGAATCTGCTCTCCCCACAGCCACGACTACGGGGCCCCCCAGGAGGCGACTCTGGGGGCCCACAAGGTGATCGAAGGCCTGGACATAGGCCTGCAGGGCATGTGTGTGGGAGAGAGGCGGCAGCTCGTGGTCCCCCCACACCTGGCACACGGGGAGAGTGGAGGTGAGGGGCAGAGACTGGTCTGATCCATGTTCTGTCCCCCTTGCCCCTGCCCGCCTTGGGCCTTGATGGCTGGTGGGAGGAGTCAGGGAAGCCTTCTGGATTGTTCTGTAAACATCCCATGCTCTACTCTCCAGTCCCCAACAGGGGAAACTGAGGCCTGTGAGCTGGGGAGCACCCTGGGCAGCCTTTGAAGCCAAGCCCAGCCCCTGCCCTGAGTGAGACTCTTCCCTTCTCGCTTCTTCTCCCTCCTCCAGCCCGGGGGGTCCCTGGCAGTGCTGTGCTGCTGTTTGAGGTGGAGCTGGTGTCTCGGGAGGAGGGGCTGCCCACAGGCTACCTGTTTGTGTGGCATGAGGACCCTCCCGCCAACCTGTTCGAAGACCTGGACCTCAACAAGGATGGCGAGGTCCCCCTGGAGGAGGTGGGTGAGGAGTTCAGCCTTATAATAACCATTCCCACGCGGTCACCCAGCAGGAGCCACGTGGCATGGTGGCATGTAGCAGGAACGCAGTGCATGTCCACCATCCTGTCTGCGCCCGTGCTCCTGCCCCTCTGCTGGTCACTGTGCTTTAGTCTCTGCCTTTTCTTCTGGCACACGTTCTTCTGGCAACCCGTTCCCCCAGCTGCAGACTATCCCGAGCACGCCCTCCACTCTGGCTCCTCTCCTCTCCATCCGTACTGGCTGGCCTCCACCTGAGGGCCTTTCCCAAGGCCACCACAGCTGCTCAGGCAAGACCCTCACCCCCACCCTCCCCTTGGCTCTCCTCGCCCCAGTTCTCCACCTTCATCAAGGCTCAAGTCAGTGAGGGCAAAGGACGCCTCATGCCTGGGCAGGACCCGGAGAAAATCATAGCGGACATGTTCCAGAACCAGGACCGCAACCAGGACGGCAAGATCACTGCCGAGGAGCTCAAGCTGAAGTTGGACGAAGACCAGGAGCGGGTCCATGAGGAGCTCTGAAGGGCGGGGGCCTGGGCCCAAACGCAAAGGCCCACTTCTAGGGGGGACAGTGGGCATTGGGGCTGACCCTCCAAGAGTCACCCTCCCCTCTGCTGGGATAGCATCTGGGAGCGTCTAAAAAGTGGTCAGAGGAGACAACTCTGGTCTTCCCACGAGCCCGAGAGTAAAATCCACAGCACAGACCTCAATTCGGTTTTCTCTTCCAACCCCAAATCCCTTCCTTAACAGTTTGGGGTTACAAAGCCAATGTGGGGAGTGGTGGGGTCTGGGGGTCGAATGGGCCACTGCTGGCCCCTCACCCCCACCTCCCCTCCGTGTCACCGGACACTGAGCAAGGCGAACTCATTGTTTCTCTCCCCAGACTTCCCTTTATCTGTACTTCTCCTCACCATCCACAACCCCCACCTCCAGCCCCCATTCCTCTGTGGTGGCAGCTCTCCAGGAGCATGACCCAGGGCTGGTGGGACCCCCAGCCTTCCTCCCTCAGCTCTGGCTGGCTCCTGGGAAGGGGGTGGCTCCAGGAAGGCAGCCCTACCTCACCTGTCCTGTCCCCCTTCACTGCGTCCAATGGCGGCTGGGGTGACCCTGGGGTGCTGCAGGTCAGGGCTGGGCTTAGTGTCACCTTTTATCCCTGAAGAAGGCTGCTTTCTCTAAGGGATCAAGGAGGAGGAAGAAAATGAAGCGAGGGTAAGGAAACCTACTTAGATGGGCCTCAGGGCCACGGAATCCTTGGTTCAGGCCTGAGATCAACTTGGAAGAGGGGCTCATTGGGGGCTGAGGGGTGGGGGGCGTGGGCAGAACTCTGCACACTCAAAAGCCTAAACTGGTGCCAGATCGCCTTCTCCTTTGTGCCAAATAAAAGACGACACCAACGGCTCAGGAAGTGGTTTTTCAGTGGGGGAGGCTTTAGACCCAAAGATTGGGAAGGTGTGGAGAGATGCTGCTCGTTTCCGAACTCCCGGCTAAATGGAAAGACAGGGTCCCTGACCTCAGACACGACACAGAAAGCTCAAGGACTAAATTAAATCACACAAGTTGGAGTCCGCCCTTTTGTGTTCGTTTCCAGTGCTACCCCGTTCCCCGCTCCCTGCTCCTGGCTGCTGACCATTACCCCCTGTCTGATCCTTCTCCCTCTTCTCCCAAGGAAAGGTCATTGAGTTCAGGTCTCCGGCGTCTTGAGGGAGGATTTGCTTCAGTCACCAGTCAGGCCATCTGCCCTCTCCTGCCTGGCTGGACTCTGGCCAGTGCGAAGACGCCGCAAGCCATCTGAGGACGGGGGTGGGGGGATGCTTGAGTCGGGACTAGACTCACTGAACTGCCCCCGAAAACACTGATTTCTTGCCCAGGATCCCCTGAGAGATGTGACCTCTCCCACAGCCGGTGACTGACACTCCCTGGTCCCAAAGCATCCAGAAGGCACCTCAGGGTCTGACAGTGGCTTCAGACCCACCTCGGACCCACCCAGCCCCTCCGCAAAACCTAACAGGACAGCTCAAAACTGAGGCCCACGTGGAGGCAGCACGGTGCAGAACAGGCACAGCTTTTATCAGAAACACTCAAACCCTGGCTCGAGCTCCTAGCTACGAGAGTTTGGACAAGTTCCTGATCATTTCTGAGCCATCTGTAGATGGGAAGTACACCTACTTTCAGGGTCATTGTGAAGATTAAATGTCACCCCTCTAGGTGTACACAGCAGGCATTCAATCAACACTCCCATTACCTTCCCTTCAGATCTGCAGATAAACACAACTTCCCAACCGCCAGGCGGGCAGAAGGTGAGGGAATGAATTCTCTGAGGGAGGACAGGCTAAGAAAATGCCAGGTGAACTAGTTGGTCTACATTTTTTTCTTCAAAAAGTGCCCTAGAGAGAATTTAGGGTTTTTTTGTGTGTGTGTGTGAGGATGATTGGCCCTGAGCTAACATCTGTTGCCAATCTTCCTCTTTTTGCTTGAGAAAGATTGTCTCTGAGCTAACATCTGTGCCAGTCTTCCTCAATTTTTATGTGGGACACCACCACAGCATGGCTTGATGAGCCGTATGTAGGTCCACACCCGGGACCTGAACCTGCAAACCCCAGGCCGCCAAAGTGGAGTGCACGAAATTAACCACTATGCCACCAGGCCAGCCCCAAGAATTCAGTAGTTGTTGACCATCTAAGTCAACAGGGAGGGGAGAACAGAAAGACACGGAAGAAAGCCCAATAACACTGGACAACAGAGCATAAGTCACTCCTATTTCACTTTGCCAGAGAGCTCCTTCCCCCCTCATGTCCCCAGTCTCAACCCCCCTTAAGGTCATCCATTTCAGTGGCCCTGGACCCAAAACAGGAGGAGGAGGGAGAGGAGCCAGGGGCACCAGGGAAAATCTACACCCAAATGGATCCCTCTGGGGATCCCTAAAGTGGGGGCTCTGCAGACAGGGTCAGCCAGACGCAAATGATCCCAACTGAGTTTCGAGTTGAACGGCTGCATGAGCATAAAGCCAAACCATCCCAGGTCAGAAACACATCCTTCCAGCCCTGCCTGCCCACCCTGATCCCCACAGACACAGTTAGGCTGTGCTCACGGTCTCCTGGGCTAATTCAGTGGTCTTCGAACTGTGTTCCGTGGAGCCCTAGCAGCTTCTTGGGGGGTTCCTGCACCTCCAGGGCCAAGGGGTGCAGACTCCGGTACCAAATCAGAACAGCTGCTTTTTCCTTCTTTATTGTGATCTGTTTTGCACATTAGATTTGTCTGAAGAAGGGCTTCCCATGTTTAAAAATTCTGGAAAAAAGAATCCTGGACCAAATGATTCCTCAAGTGCGAACACCCTGCAGGTCCAGAGAGGATCTGGAACAGCTCTGGCTGCCCTCCCGCGGGGCAGGGCCTCCCTCAGGCCTTGGAGAACACAAACAGAAGGCGCCGGGGAGAGGAGGGAGGGCAAGGGCCCAGCAGCTCATGGCCGCCCTGGACTTTTCTCCGCACACACACAGAAGAGGCGTGCTCACAGCAGAGCGGCCTCCCGGTGGGGCAGTGGGGTGCCCCTCCTCATCAGGGCTGGGCCCGCCCTGCGCTCAGGAGCCCTGCATCTCCATCCAGTCCCCCTGGCGCAGGATGTGCTGCAGCAGTCCGTTGACCACGTCCAGCGTCTCATCCTTCTCCAGCACGATGTCATACGAGTCCATGTAGCGCTCCCGCCGCTCCTCCACCTGCCCGGGGGAGGGGAGACTGAGGGTCCCCCAAATGCCCTGCCGTCTGCCTCACCCACTGCCTCTGACTCTAAGCACCTGGGGCTGGGGGAGGAGGACGTTCAAGGTTACAGGGACCTGCCCTGTGGAGACATGGATGGTGATGGGCACAGGCTACCACCATTAACCCTTGGGTCAATGTGAAAAGGACAGTCACGAGGATTAAATTTTAAAAACCAGATGTTACCTCTAACCTAACTGGATTGAATTTCCACAAGGCCCAAGTATCCTGGGAGACTGCAGCACCTGCTGGCTGAGGATGTGGACTGGCGGCCTTCTAGCTACTGTGCCCCTTTATGACCACACTGTTTTCACCCCTGTCAGCCTCTGGTTGGTTCTTGTATTTTTCTTCTCTAAATTGTAAGCCCGCATCCTGAATACTGACGTCTCCCATCTCAATCACGCCTGACAGGTATGATTTAGGAGGACAGGTCATCGGCCTCACCACTTCCTAAACTATGTCACCTTGGGCACGTTACCTAACTTCCTTGACTCAGTTTCCTCAAGTGTAAAATGGTATAACTGTCACTCCTCAGAAGGCTATTGTACGGATTATATGGGTTAATGTGCCTGGCGCACGGTGGGCACTAAGTGTAGGCTCCGATTAAGTAGCTGGCATTACCCCGTCTCTGAACTCTAGTGTCAGGCGGTGTGGTGAGCACACAGCTGTAGTCACTGGTATCTCTTTTGCTTTCCTAGGAGAATATGGAATATTCCCCTGGAGAATATGGCTTGTGTCTTACCTCTGTACCTCTAATACTTAACATAGTGTCTGTCACACAGAAGCTGTTCAGTAAGCATTTGTTAACAGGAATTGAAGGAGAAGCAAGCCATGAAGAGCCCTGGTCCCCGACCTACCTTGTCATTTAGGAAGCCAATCTTGAGAATGTTCTCCACACCGGGAACCCCATCGGCCATAGTGAGGTCCCCCATGGAGTCTCCCAGCAGGAGGATGTTGGTTTTGCCCTGAAGCTGCTGGAAGTAACCGGAGTTCTGACACACGGAGCTGTTCTTGTTGTACGTGTGTATGAGCTGGCCCTTGAATCCCCGTAGGAAACCCTAAATAATCAGGAGACAGATGGAGGGTGACAGAGGCTCATGTAGGGCCAGTTAAATGGACAGGGACCATCAAATATTGCTGATTCCCTGCTCTGGTGGAAGCACGAGGCCTGTGATCAAGTACTGTTCAGGCTATGTGTGCGCTAAGCCTCAGCTGCAGGCCGCGTCCTAACCACAGGTCAAAGGGATGAAAATTCTGGCCATTGGTTTTAAGGGGAAGAAGTCAGAACACGGGTGAGTCGGAGCAGCCCAACTCTGGCTCTAGAAAAACAAGTCAAAGTCTAAGCCCTTGAGTACCCAGGATGGCACATGACCCATGACAGTGACATGGGGCCTGGCTGACCCCTAAACTAGGTCCCCCATGGCAGACAGCTAACTATTGGCCAAACACCAAAGAGTGGGTCCTTCAAAAATAACTGTTTTTAGCTGACATAAATAAATAAGTAACTGCCCAAGAGCAAAGAAGCCAGCATGCCTTCCCCGCTTCTTCCTCCCCAGGGTAAGGTTAATGTTTAGGGTCACGTGTCCTAGCTGGTGGTCCCCACCCTGCTTCCATTCCCAGCCCAAATGAGATCCAGCTCACATCTTCATCAAAATCCATGTAGTTGGACACAATATGGATGTTAGGGTGGAATACTTTCATCTGCTGGATAATTTCTTCCAGGATATCACCAATGCCCGCAGAAAAGATGAAAAGGGGAATGTTGTTTTGGTAGAGGGTGTTGAAGAACGTCTTGTACCCCTCCCTGAGAAGAGATGAATAGATTCTGAAATGGCACTGCCTCTGCTACTGTTCCTTATTTTCTACTTGGGTTATATATTATTCAATTTTTTTAAACATTTTAAATTGAGGTATAAAATACATACAGTAAATTGTTAAAGTGAACTTATCTTAAGTATTCAGCTCCTATTTACATATGTATACACCCATGTAATTACTAACCACATCAAGGTTCCCTCATGACCCCTCCCAGTCAATGCCATCCCCCTTTTTGACTTCATATCACCACTGATTAGCCTTGCGTGTCCTTGAACCTCACATAAATGGGCTCATTTTTGTGGTTGTTGTTTCTGGATTATTTTGCTCAAGCAAAATACAAGCAGGCAGCTATCCTGGGGCAGCCTCACTGAGGACCACCCCAAGCCTGCCCCGGCACTCACTAGGTCTGCACGTCTCTACTCTCTTGGCTGTTCATGAGCTAGCCTCTCTCCCCAATTAGGACACACAATCCTCGAGGGCAGGCGCCCACATTGCCTCCCTTCTCTAGTGTCCCCCATCCCTTCTCCAGTAAAGAACACTCCAGCGAGAGAGCTGCATTGTGAAGGCCACCTATGATCAAGGGTTCCAGGCCAGCCAACATCCATGTCTGGATAACAAACAGTCACCATGGGGACCCCAGAAGTCTTTTTACCACTGGGAAAAATGAGCTAGATGCTGTCTGTTTTGGATGAAGCCCTGGTCATATTCACACCACATCCACTACTGGCAGACTGCCTTTAGCTGCATCCAGAGAGGAAGGGCAAGACTTCCTCCACTTCGGTTGCTCATGGTGCTATGTCTCTTCTGACTCTCCCAGCAACTAACTCCTT